TTATTAGAACTAGCGCTATAAAACGCTAAACTATATAAAAGATTTTAAGTTAATAACGATTAAGAATATAAAGTAGAATAAATACTAGATATAAGAAAATAAGGTTAGTAATAAGAATACCTTATTAAGTAAAAGGGATATAAACTAAAGGAAAATACCTAGGAACTACTTAGGCACTTAACCTACTATAGCTCTTTACTTTAATAATTTTACTAAAAGGTTTAGGAGGGATTAAAGGACTAAGATCTACGAACTCCTCGCTAATATTAAATAAAGACTAATTCGCCTTATTAAGAACGCCTAACGATTATAAGTTATTTACTACCTAATACTTATATATATTAAGCGTAGGTAAAACGCTATCCTTAGTATCTACTTCTTAAATACTACGATAAAATAACTTAGAACTCTTTTCTTTTATACGATTTTAAATCTTCTAGATATAAGCTAAACGATTAATAGTAATAGATATTTACGACTAAAGATTCGTAAGCTATGCTTAAAGCTCTAATAAGGCTTCCCTAGCTTCCTCCTCTTTAGAATATAGCCTATACTACTCCGCTAATAATTTAGTTATTAAAAGAAATACGTTAGCTACTATATATAGAAAGAATTAAAAGACACCTATAAAAAGAAGCTACTAAAACACTATTATAATAGGGACGACTACTAGTAATATAATTATTATAGCGCGAAGAATTTTTAGCTATTTAATAATTTATCTTCTTCGCCTTAAAGTATTAAGTATATAGTATATTAGTAGGATCTCTACTTAAGTTAATATATTTAGTAAGAGTAGCGCGCTTAGAGGCTTTTTAGGAACGATTTTTTAATATACGACTAGATATACTATTAGTAGTATATCCTAAAAGGATAAAGAGATAAGGAACGATATACTTACGTACGACGCGATAAGGGTATATTTATATACGGCGGCTAAGGCAGCTATAGTAAGTCTTACGGATAAGACTAAAAGGAGGGGAGATATCGTATTACGACCACTGCTACTAGGCCGCTAATAGGCGACCGCGTTAAGCACGTAATACGGCCTAACGGATAAATAGTCGGTACGATAATCTAATAAATATAGGATTAAGAGGATCGTAGAGATCTAAGTAATCTAAGATTAACGAGATTACTACGCTCTATACGATCTAACGTTAGGGATTATAGCTAGGCCTATAATCTAAGGATAGTCTCTATAGGTATATATAGCTACTTACTTTTACTCCTTTAGATAGATAGCTCTCTAGCTTTTAATATAGATCTTTATTATAATTCTATCTCTAATTTTAATTACCTAGTTATAGTCTACGGTCTACGACCTCCGACTTATTACTAACGTAATATATATATTATTACTTAGACCACGCCCTATTATATCTACTAATATAAACCCCTTAATAGGTTTATCCCTTAGGAATAACACCGGTCGTTATATAAAGGTTATAACGTTATAAGCTAGGTACTATATAAGGATATAGCTATTATCGATCTTATAAAGGTAAGGCTCTTATAATAAGATAAGGGCCGCTCTTATTTTAGGGCCTACTTTAAGATTAATAGGTTAGCTATTTCCTACTTATTAGTATTATACTATATAATACTAATAGGGTCGTAGTTAGGCCTTAAGGGCCCTATAAGTATAAGGAGGCTAAGGCTATTAAGTATTAGTTATTCTTTTATAGACTTTATATTATACCTTATTAGTTATAAGGTACTCTCCTTTATAGTTATAGTATTAGACCTTAAAGTAAGAGTAGCTTTAGCTAGCCTTATAGCTAGGGTAGTTATAATCCTTAGTTAAGTACTTTTTTAAGTAAAAGATATACTTAATAGGCTACTAGTAAGTCTAGGGGTTATAGCTAAAGGAAAGGCACTTATAGTACTATATATATATAGTATATTCCTTATAAGCCTCGACCTAAATCTATAGGCTTATTATATAGAGGCCTTTTTTCTAGTATTCGGCCCTTATAGCTTTTAAAAGGACTATAAAGATAATAGATTATACCTTTTACGTTAGGCCTAGGGTGCCTAGCTACTTAAGCTACCCTAGGATATTAATCCCGCTATAAGTCTTAGCCTCTTTAGTAAAGATATCTAGGATAGGGGTATCTAAGAGGTTAGGGATGCTCTAAGCTACTAGCTTAGTCTAGCTAGTAAGAAGGTCGGCCGATTTAATAGGTAGACCCTTAAGGTATAAGGACTATATTTCCTACTACTTTAAAAGCTTCTTTACTATATAAGGGGCCTTTATTATTATAACTATATTACTTTTATTTAAAGTCGATAGAGCTAATATAGCTAGTTCCCTTATAGCCTTATTAAGCTCGTTATAAAGAGTAATAGGGCTAATAGTTAGTATTAGCGACCCCTTCTTTAGCTTTAAAATAAGTTAAAAGTCCTCTTTTATATTCCTTTTAGCTAGGGCCTTAGTTAGGGCCTTTACTAGGGCCTTAGCTAGAGCCTTAGCTAGGGCCTTAGGCGCTTTCTTTATAGTAACCTTAGCTTATAAGCTAGTTTTAAGGTTTCCTTAGGTAGCCTTAAGCTACTAAGCGGCCTTAGGCTAGTATAGGGGCCGTTAGTAGTCTAGGGTCTTTATAGCTACCTTCTTAAGCCTTTTTATAACGGTCTTATAAAAGGGTTTAAATTTTTAGGCTTCTTTAAGGGCTTAGAAGGCCTACTAAAGGAAGCCCTAAGCCCGGTCTATAGGGAAGGGGTACTAGGGCCGGGGCTAGGTCTACTATAAGTATTAGAATATAGGTTAGATAAGCGTAAGGTTAATAGGGCTATTAAGGGTAGCTCTTTTTTATCCCTTTACTTACTTTAAAAGCTAGTTAGGCTAAAAGTAGCTAGCTTAAGATAAGGCTAAGCTAGGCCTAAAAAGGCTAGTCTTTAGTATAAGCTAGGTATTATCTTCTATCTTAATATCCTTTAGGTCCTAGTCTTAAGTCTTAGGCCTTTCTTCTAGGGTTTTTAAAAGGTATTAGCCTTTTAAGGCTTCTTTTAAGTAGGCCCTAGCTTCTAAGGTACTTATTTTAGCCCTTAGGTTAAGGGCGGGGTTAAAGGGGCCCTTCTTAGGCTTAGGCTAGGGTCCTAGGTTAGGTCTAGGCTAGGTCCTATTAGCGGGGGGTATATACCTTTAGTTTTTTTTTTATATTATTACTTATATATAGCCTCTAAGGCTATAGCGAGGCTAATAGGGGCCTAGGCCCTTATTAGTAGTCCTAGCTAGCTATAAAGCCTAGGGGCTTATAACTAATTAAGGAAAGGGTAGCTATAAAAGTAAAGATAAAGGAAAGGTTAGTTTAGTTCCTCCTATATAGTATTTTCCCCTCCTAAGGGCCCTAGGGCCCCTAGGTTACTCCTTTTTAAGCTACTTAGCCGTTCCTATCTCTATTTTAGCTAGGAAGGTTAGAAGGGCTTCCCTTTCTTCCTTAGAGCTATAGAGAAAAGGTAGGCTAAGGGCCTCCTTCTATCTTATTAAGGTTTAATAAAAGACCTCTCTTTCCCTCTTATAGTTCGGGCACCTTAGGATAAGGTGCTTAGCTATATACCTTCCTTAGCTATAGCGGTAGTCGTCTTAGTCTACCTTATTAGTCCTTTTTAAGAAGGAAAATAAGAAGCTAGCCTTAAAGAAGAGCTAGTAGAAGGCTAAAAAGAAGGGCCTAGGCCTCCCTATAAGGTCCTTATCCGGGCTAAAGGCTAAGCGGGGGGTCTTTTAAATAGATATATAGTACTTACCTAGGCCCTTAGCCCTAAGGCCTTTAGCTACCTCGGCGGCCTAAAGGCCCTTCTAGTAGTCCTTAGTAGCTTACTAGACCTTTCTTTATAAGTAGCTAATAGAGACTAAAGGGGTCCCTTATATACTCTTAGTTTTTTTTATTTTATATTATTACTTATATATAGCATCTAGGGCTATAGCGAGGCTAGTAAGGGGAGCCCCCTACTAATAGTCCTAGCTAATTATATAACCTTATAGCCTATAACTAATTAGGGAGGAATTTTTCTTTATATAAATATAAAGATAATAAAGGAAAGGTTAATCTAGCTAGTCCTACGCTATGTTTTTTTCCCCTATTACTAGGTTCCTAGGCCCCCCTTATTTTCCTATATCGAGGATCGAAGTAGTTATAAAGGTTTAGAGGCGTTATAGCGTTATAGCTATAGTAGCTTATTATTATATAGCCCGAGGGCTATTCCGTTATATAGCCCGGGGGCCGTTTCTACCCCGCTATAAGCGGGCACTATTAGTGCTAGCTGGTTAGGGCTAGCGGTAGAGCAGCTAGATAAGCTAGGGGGGGGGAGCGGGATTCGAACCTACGACCTTATAGAAGAAGCGGGTCTTCTAGGCGCTTCTACTACTACGCTATCCCCCCTTATACCCTTAGTTAGCGAGGGCGGGGAAGAGTTTTCTACCTATATAAAGGAAAACCTCGCTTAATTTATAAACTTCGGTAGTATATTACGCACGCGCTAGTAGCTACGCGAGGCTATACTCAGGGGGGCGTAATATACTATTCGCGACGGTTCTAGGCGTATACGTTTTTCGTGTTTTAGGCTTAGTTTCGAAAAGTTAGCTAAGAAGACGTAATAATGTTTTTTAATATATAGCTATTAAAGGTTAGGCTTACGCCTATACGCACTAATAGGCGCGCCCCTTATCCCTATAAGCGGAGACGATGCTATCGCCGTATCTAGAGGCACCGAATGCGGTAGTTAACCTAAGGGATACTAAGGAAGTTACTTAACGGATCCGGATAACCGTAAGCTGCTAGATTAGTAGGGAAACCTATTCCCCCCGTACTTCGTATATATATATATATATAGTTACACCTACGGACTCCCTCTTTTAAGCAGGATAGAGCAATACACACCCTCTTTCTTTAATGCAAAGACCTAATAACTAGCAATAGTTAGAACCTATTAGAGGAGACTAGCTATCTCTAGAAGGTTCTATGGGCACAACGAATCTATCGGCCATGTCTATATAAGACCTAGCCTTGCACTCCTTTCTATAATGTTATCTAGAAAGTTCGATGACATCACTTAATAATCGCGCATTTTATTATACGTATCCCGAATGCGACACTGACTCTAAGGTTTGCTCTGCCTGGCCTTGATTCTATGCCCGATCTCGCAAGGCTTTTGCTCCCGGCTTCATCTAATCTACGCTATCCCCGTTATTACCTATCCACATTTCCTTAAACCGGGAGGTCGATTGAAGAAGCTGTTGGGGATCACCAACTTCACATACCACTCCGCAATCAAGCACTACAACTTGATCAAAGTCTAGAATAGTACTTAGCCGATGAGCAATAGAAATAACGGTGCAGTCCCTAAACTGCTTGCGAATAATTGTCTGCATGAGGTCGTCCGTAGCCCGGTCCACACTTAGTACCAGTCAGCACAACTTAAATTCGTGGGGTCAGGCCTAAGCGCGACTTACTTGCTCGTGACTTCATCAAGTAGCACAATACTCGCCTTGCGAAGGATGGCAACCGCCAAGCAAAACAACTGACGTTGACCGTGGCTGAGAAAGCCTAGATCAAGTTGTGACAGTAGCCCGCCTTTGGCTTCCAGAATATCCAAGAGATGCACCCGCCTCAGTGCTTCAACCACTTCAGAGTCCGAAGACTCATGGCGAGGATCGAGGTTAAAGCGAACTGTGCCAGGGATAAACACGGGTTCTTGAGGAACGATATTCAGTCGAGCGCGGACCGTGTTTCGAGGCACAGTGCTAAGATCGACACCATCAATAACGATGGAGCCTTCTTTCATCTCTAGCATGCGTGATAATAGCAGAAGCAGTGAAGATTTACCACTGAGGCTTCTAGTTAGTAAACAGTTTTGAAATCTCGGTTACACTGGGTGAACGATTTACCTGCCGCTTCGGCCACATATTCCTATCTTCTGTCCGCCTTCTACGGATAGGCTCACAGTCCGGAGAATAAGAGAGTCCGGTTTTGTTCTAGTAATGATGCGTTAGCAATCGACTTCAGGGTCTAGAATGTGCATGGCACTTACTCGTAGAAGGCGCTAACGCTGTTAAGACAGATTTTACCGGCACGAGGCCAAGCCAAAGGAGGTTCGAAAACCTCGTTTGTCTTATTCTCCGAGGGCGTATTTTCAACAAAATTCTTAATTCTACTAACAGACCCGATGCTCGTCTCCACGACTGTCCACTGCATGACAATGGTTGTAAGCATCATGCTTAGCGACATTACCTGCGTCAAGGCAACGCCCGCAAGTCCGCCACTCGATTTTAGAGCTACCGCGAGGGCCACGACGATGATTGCAACACCGGCGACGATCATGTCGAGAACAAAGGTCAGCCAGCGCTGAATCATATAGAGCAGATACAGCGGCTTTTGAGACGAATCTAGAAGCCTGTGGTTTGCTTCTAAAGTCTCTAATGCCCAGCCGAAGGACCTTAGGGTCGACAGCCCATTCAATGTCTCTAAGAAACTGGTGTATAACGGACTTTTAGCCTCAAGCTCTAATGATCTTAACTGACGAGATGTTTAAAGATAGAAGTTCTAAACTGCATAGAAGACTGGTATTAAGACGATGAATGCCAGCCCGACCTATGGGCTTGAAGCAATAATCAGGGCCGCCTGACCGAGCGACAGGAAAATTGTTAGGAGCAATGTGAGCAGCGCTAGAGGTAGCTCGTTGTCTATAAATTGGAGATCTTAAGAGAATCGGTTTATAGTGATGCCGCTGTCGGTAGAACTAAAGAAGGATAAGGGCGCCTCCATTATGGACTTAAGGAGCGAGGCGTGTAAGAATGATCCCGCGCGGGTAATGACGCGGATGAAAGTATGGTACGCTGCTGCGAATAAGAGAAGGAGGGCTGTGATCTGGAATGCTGTATAGACTCCCTAGTAGACGAGATCGCCGGGGTTGACGGCATTTACCCAGATATTAAGCCAGTAACTCGGGATGTTATATGAGGCAGCGTAAAGTATACCAAGGAGTAGAAGAAGGTAGGTCGCCTAAGTCCCGACTGCCTTAGAATAGTAACGGTAGACGGCGAGATCGCTTGTTGTTCGGTTTCGGGTGCTCTCGTCCGTGTCAAGTTTAGAGACTTTCTCACTGCTTGCGGCTGCTTCCTCGCCTTCCTATGCCCGCACCTTGTTTACGCTCCGCTCTTGGGCGACGGTTAGATAAGTCGAAAAGCCTTCTTGAGAGCAAAGAGAAGGGTAATTGCCCTACTGCGCGACTTTTCCGGAGCTGCCCAGTGCAACAATGTGGTCGCTAAAGGGAAGGAACTGCGTGGCGTGCGTGGCAAAGATGACGGTAATATTCTGTCGTCGAGCGATGCCCTCCGGACCCATAACATGCCAGAAGATGTGGTTTGACCCCTCGCTATCGAGGCCGCTTAAAACATCATTAAGGATAAGGATAGAGCTTTAGGCGTATAAAGCTCTAGCTAGGGCGACCTTTTGGCGCTGGCCACCGCTGAGGTTGATACCGTCGCTTCCGATAACGGTGCTATCTCGGCTAGGCATCTGGGCGATATCGTACGACAATGCACAGGCGCTAATAACGGCATTATACCAAGGCCGCGAGAAATCGGAATATCCCACAATGTTTTCCTTGATTGTCCCGTTGGCCAAGTACGGTGTTTGGCTACAGAAGCCAATCTTCTTGGAATCGCCTAATACGTATAGTTTTCCATTCCATGTGGGAGTCTCCCCTAACAAGGCGTGACAGAGGGTAGATTTGCCATAGGCGACCGGCCCGACAATAAGAGTAAGGTGGCCCCGTGGGATGGCAAGGTTGATGTCGTGAAGAATATCACCATTGCCCCAGCCGCAGGAGCCTTAGCTGATTTGGATGATAGCCTCGTGTCCCGCAACGACGGGCTAGAGGGCCAACTCCACGGGGGCTTTCTCTTCAACAATGCCGTCACTCATTGAAGGGTCTTCCATATCCGTGGAGGCGGCTTTTGTGCCGGTATTCATATTAAAGTCCCTGAAGTCGGTTTGGTGCTCAGTTAAGAGGAATTCATCGATCCGCGCCGAGGATCCGAATGCAGCGAGAAGTGATAGCAGATCAAGCAGAGTCTGACTAAGAGACTGGGCGATGAGCAACAGCAAGGAGAGAGACGTGAAAGCTCGAGAAGCGTCGAACAACTGATGAGTGGCCCTCGATGAAAGGATAAATACCAGGAATGTAAGAAGGGGTGAGATGAACTGCGGCATATAGCCCAGCCCGGCGGTCTACACCAACAATATTCTGAATCGCGCCGCGTATATGAGCTCCTCGAGTCGTAGATCATGAACGATGGAAGAGACACACACTGTCAGTGCTCGCATCTTGATGGCCTTGATGGACGATAGGATGTTCGAAGTCGCCCCGATACGGGACTGGGCAGCCTGCATCTATTTGGTTTGGCGAGCATGCGAAGACCGGCTGACCTAGACTGTTGCGATGGAGGAGAAGGCCGTGACGACGATGGGAACCACGAGCGCCGTGCCGAGCTGTCTGTGCAGCAAATAGGTTAAAATTCCGACTTAGATAACAATGGCCTAGAACTCGTGGAAACTGCGCAGCCCGAATAGGATCCTCTTAACATCCGTACTCATCAATGTCACGGGGGCTTTGGGATCGCTCATTGCATAGATGTTGATCCTTAACGTCTGCCAACCGATGGCCGAAACCAAACATCCGCGAATCATGGTGAGCACCCGGTAGTGATGGTACCAGTAGGCGCCAGTCGCCACGGCCACTCATGTACAAGAGAGCGTAAGCGCTAATCAGGCCCTTACCAACCGCCTCGGTCTCGGGTATGGAAGCCTGCCCCAAGTACTCAATCAGATTATGCAGGAGAACTGGCTGGCAGACTGTAAACGCTAAGAGCAGGACCCGCGGCAAGAGTGTCTTGAGTATTGGCCACTTCAAGGTGGCGAAAAGGGCTCGCATGCATGCGAAGCTTTTTCGCTTCTACTTCGAATTTGCCTAAGCATCGAGGAAAGGGGAGCCGAGAGAGGTCGAGGTCATCTCTGGAGTCAATTCATCAAGATTTCCCGGGAGCAAAGCCGTTCGTGCACCGTTCCATACAACGCGGTTAAGCCAGAAAAAGATGCTTCGGTTCAACACGCTGCTGGTGCTCTCGGGTCCGTATGCCTCCTTTGGTGCTATGATGGAGTTTGATTTCTCGTGCGATTCCAGGACCAGGACCACGGCTTTGGCGACTACCGAGGCAATGGCAAGCGCCGCGAGCGTCGACGCCGGAGACACCAGCCATACCGTCCGGGCGCGGATAGCATCGAAAAGAGTAGAAAACATGCAGTATAGCAGCAGAATGGATAACGGTCGAATGCTGCGGCCATGCTCAAGATATGATAGCAAGCAGAGAAGGATGGCAGTGACAAGGGCAAGTCCAGCCGCTGTTATAGAGGACCAAGTTCTCAAGGCCTAATAGGTAAACCAAAAGGAAAGAAGAGCTGCTTGCAGTGCCGTATAAACTGCAAGGGCAAACTAGGAGCAGTAATGAGCAAGATCGAGCCTGGTATATACATGACGGCTTATATCGATTTGGATTGAAACTCACCAATTTGACGACCTGGAGCATTCCCGCCGCAACCAGCCTCTGTTGACGGTGAAGACGCAATATCCTTGTGCTGGCTGCCAAGATGACTATTAAGGAAGGAAGGATGGAGACGATTGTGTTTTCGAAGAAGATTGTGAAATCAAAATCCTAGTAGCATCCCTTGGCCAGGGGGCCAAAGCTATCGTCATTGCAGTGTGGTTTCATGGTATTCAAACAAAACGACAACGATCAGACTCTTTCGCGAGTATTTTGGTGTTTTGGCAAAGACCAGTGTTAGAGGAAGGCCGCGCAAAAAAACCGCCGTTCCTGACCGGTTCAGCTCAATACCTACGGCTGCAAGTAGTACAGAGTACGAAGTAGGGACTTTTGAAATATGCACCTCTATCAACCAAGGCAACCACTAATAAGCCAGTAACAAAAGCGGAGTCTTCCGTAGATGCAAGGCCATGCCGGAGAGTGGATTATTATTAGTGTCGCATATAGGAATGCGTCAAGGGCCATCGTACATAGGAGGGCGAGCATAAGGAAGACATGGCGACTCACGCGGCGGGATCACGGTGTCATGCCCGTTGACTTGCAGTTACGGCATTAGGATTAGACTACTCGTGCTTTCCATGCAAGTTGATCTAGACAATGATTTTAAGAGCAGGCCAGAGCACCCCCCTCCAAGACTCAAATTCCTTATCAAATGTGTCATAAGCATGGCGTAATAATCATCACGGCTCTCATCTCGGCTAATATTAAACCTTCCTATCCAGGATGGGTTACTGTCAGGACAAGAAAGGGCTTATAATACGCGTTAGTAACACCTCTATTGGGGGTGCCCTCATTTTGCATGGTGTAGCGGTATTTTACTAGCTTGACAGTTACCACATAACCTTAAGTCCGCCTACCTAAACTTCGGCCGACTTTTAGGCCCCCCAAGTAACTCAATGGCGACGGATTTTGAATCGAGAGCCATAAGAACACGTACTCTACCTCCTCAATACCTGTGATGGCCGGTTGTCTCCTAAAAAGTGCTACTGAGGGGTGTTAAGACCCTCCCCCCGGTGCCTAGTCCTTCGACATTGAGGGTCTCCGACCGGGGAAAGCGTTCTTAACTAGGTTGCACCTCGTAGCGACTCCTGCGATGCCCCGTTCTCTCGGCCGCCCGTGTTTCCCCCAACCTTATGGAATAGCACCGTGCCCTCATTGACGCCTCCGTACCTATCGTACATAGAAACCTCAAGACCAGCTACCTTTCCGTCGACGCCAATCTTAAACTCTGCGGCATAAAACCTAGTAACTGCGTTAATACCTAATAGCATCTTGCTATATAAGGTCCAGTAATCGCCGGATACGTGATGCAGACGCCACTGCTGCGCCCATAATAACTCTATTCGGTCAGCAACTAGAACGGTCTCGTCTAAATTGGCCGAGAGTAGCTCTTGGAAGAGAGTAATCTGTCCGTATCCTAGGTTAGAATATAAGCCGGTTAGTTCGCTAGGCTTGATCGAAGGAGGAGACGGGCGTTTTGGTCTCTCCGGAAAGAGGATGTCGTCTGCCTTCTCAATATCACGCTGCATATCCCTCTCGCGTTCTTTTAGTCTGTTGTTTCTAAGTCAGTAAGCAACAACGATGCAGGCTAGAAAACAGACTTTTTATTCACATTAAGCCGGTCTTTAAGTGGGATTCGCAGCTTATCATCGAGGAGCCTTCTTACTAGGATAAGTTCGGCTTGGTTCGACGTTTCGGCCCCATTTGCCAGCGCAACGATCCCAAACTTAACCTCCGGAAGCCAGTAAACGAGGGCACCGAAGGTTATAGTAGACCCATAGTGCCAATATACTACTTGACCGTGGATTGTAGTACGTTGCCAGGCAAGCCCGTATAGGTCCACGTCTATACCAAGGGCAGGCCGGGCATCATGTATAAACCGGGGCGTCCTAATATCCTTATGAACGGCCTTAGAGAATGGCTTAGCCTCGTGGATAAGGCATTTTAGCCATTGCGCGTAGTCGATCACGTTGGATATAATGCCGCCGGCGCCGCTCATGTGCTCGACGTCTAAGTAAGGCAGCTCCTTATACCTTTGGTCCTTTTCACGCCACGCGTAGCTTAACGCAAGGGGAACCGACGAGTCCTTTGCCTCCTGTAAGTCTCAAGCAGTGGCTTGAGAGCACAGTGGAAGAAATAGGGGCACAGAAAGGTGAATTTAGTGATGCATGTCTTGGTCTATCTATTGGGACAAGGGAGGGGCTTATATAGGTACAGTGACCACACATAGCTAGCTAAAAGAGGGCAATAGGATGTTCCTATACCTGAGTCAAGCCTGCATAGTGTCCTTGGGCTAGGGGAGTCATGTTGTTCAGGCAGGCTTCCTTGTGCATGACTATTGGGTCCACTGAGCATGACTGTGGCCACTTATGCCCACTCTCTCTCCTCAACACACCCCCTTGTCACGCCAGCTTCCAGATGGTGGGGCAATAGGTAGAGGAGGGTTCGGTCTAATGAATGTGAGGTTATTCCGATGTTGAATTCGGCTGCTTTGTTGTCTGTTTAAGGAGGTTGTCCAAAAATAGGGGAGGCTCCTGATTATATCCTGCAAAAAAGGGAAGGTAAATGCAGCAAAAGGCAAAAGCCGGGACCCGAGAGGATAGGATGTAAGGAGAACCCTCCTCCGTACATCCTATCTCCTCGGGCCCCCAAGTTCGTTGACCGCGCCCCCCCCAGGGCGTGGTCACACAACCTGCTCTTCCGCCCCAGGGGGAGTCGAACTTGCGATCAATGGGGTCACACAACCTGCTCTTACCGTTTGACCAGTAGTTGCAAGTTGTATTTGTGACCTTCCTTATAAGGAGGGGGGCATGGCGGGGCATCCCTTTGGGTGGCCTAGGTACCGTAGTACCTTTGCCGGCGACGTTGTTTTTTTGGGATGAAAGTGATCCTAAAGGTGGGCTTTCTAATGATATATTCCTTATATCAATTAGTCTTGATTTGGTAAAGCTGTCGCGATTATCGTGAGTTTGAGCGCCATGGTGTTGTGCCAATTAAGGGGTGGTCTAGTGATAGCTTCACTTCTTGGTAGTAAATAGGGCCAACTTCCACCCCCTAGATCTTTATGGTTTCTTAACCAAATTAAGATCTAACTGCGCCGTTGGAATCCCCTGATCTTAGTGCATATAGTGGTGCTCTTATCATCGGGATCCGGCGATTGTCGAGTTCGCTGTAGTAGGGAGACATCACGCCTCAATACGGTGGTTAGGTACATCATCTCTTGATATATCTTCCGGCCGTGTTACTAGTCCTAGTTGCTTAATAAAGCTCTGATGCTTCTGGTGTGTAAGCGCCTTCGTCATGCCATCAGCTGGGTTGTCTGCTGATGCGATCCAGCTAACTTGTATCCGATCTTGCTGCACCTCCTGACGAAGCCAGTGTCTGTGAACGTCAACGTGCTTAAGGTTCGTCTTAAGCTTCGCGCTTAATTCAGTCAGAAGCCTAATAGTCTGAAGGTTATCACACCAGAGCTCTGTGGTCCCTTCAACACTGATGCCAAGCTCCTTAATTAGTCGGCCAAATGCCACCTGTTCCTTGGCTGTCTGTGAGAGTGCCAATAATTCAGCTTCTGTAGAGGACGTTGTTATAGTAGCTTGCTTGGTGGCTTTCCAGTCAATTGGCCCACCAAGGAGTAGGAATACGTATCCTTGTGAGGACTTCCTAGTCTCTGGGTCATCGGCGTATGAGGAGTCGGATGCACACATTAGCCGCCTTGTTGGGTTTGTCGCCGTAAAGCAGATACAGCGGTTTCTTGTGTGATAGATGTAAGCTAGGCACTTGCGTGCTTCGTGCCTATGGCGCGGCCCGGGGTTGTAATTGTATTGGGCTAGCTTTCCGGCTGCAAATGCGATATCTGGCCTGGTGTGAATTGCTGGATGAATAAGCGACCCAATTAGAGAGAGATATTCGTGTATCTCTTCCTTTGAGGCCTGCTTTTCGTAGGGGACGAGCTCTTCTGTTGTTAGCGGGATCTTAGGCTCCCGAAGGATATTATTATCAAGGATATGATATTTCTTCGCGGTCTTAGAGATATAGGAAGCTTGCGAGAGCCATATCTTCTTAAGATCCCTATCCCTGATGATCTCGATGCCAAGGAACCAGCGTAGCTCTCCCATATGCGTGACGGTGTATTTCTTCGTGATAGCCTTGTGTAGCTCTTCCCAATCTTGTTTTTGCCTTTTCGGATACATCATAACGATGTCATCCACGAAGATGAAGATAATAACGCCCTTGTAGACTAGTACGCAGGCGTCTTCCACTAGCTGCTGGGCTCCTAGTTCAGTAAAGAAACTAGATATCTCTTCAAACCATAGCTTTGGAGAGATACGGAGCCCGTATAGTGCTTTCAATAGCTTTAGGCATAGCCCAGGCATTGAGAATCCCGGTGGAGGCTGGCAATAGACTTCTTGGCGTAGGATTGCGTATAGAAATGCTGTTTTTACGTCGTATTGTTCCGTCTCGAAGTCCTCGAGGCAGCAGAAGGCTATTAGTAGTCGAAATGTTCGTGCTCGTAGGGTGGCTGCATATGTATCCTCGTCACCTTCGGGTTGTAGGTCTCCACGAACCACAATGCGTGCTTTGAAGCGTGTAATATACCCCTGTTCATCGGTCTTATATGCAAAGACCCAACGTAAGGGGATTAGGAAGTGACCTTTCTGTTTGATAACAGCTTTTAGGATGGTCTTCCATGTGCCCCTTGCTAGGTTTTCCTCCATTTCGCGGTCTGCAGCTTCCTTCCACTCGTGTGCGAATTCTGAAGCCATTGCCGCGTTGAAGGAGGTAGGGGGAGGCGGCATATCTTCAACGTGAAGCTTATGCTTGCTTGCCTTTGCGATAATATTATTAATAAGGGATTTCTTAGGCCTACGAGCCCGTTTTCCTTCAATAACGTTGCTTGGGTCAATCCCTTGTGACGTATCCTTTCGTCTGCGTTGTTCTTGTGTTTGTGATGTCCTTGAGCCGGCCCTACTAACCGCTGGGTTGAGGGTGCGGGGTTCGGACTGGGGGTCATCTTCTTGAACCCGTACCACAATCGTTCCTTCACCCCCCAGGTTGAGAGGTATATCATTGCGTTCGTCTTGAGGAGACGAGTCGATTGATATAGGTATCGCATCTTCAAGCTGTCTCCCTAACGAGATGTGGGAGGGGTTGCTGGCTATAGTGTCTATTGCGGGCGTAGGAGGCACAGAGCTTGGTAACTCCGTGTCAAATACAGTGTCAGGTAGAAGGGGTGACGTTGAAATCTCTGTCCCTAGGCCCACTGTTTCCGGAGGGGAAAGATATGTATATCTATGTGATCCCTGTAAGGGCGTCTTTAATCCCTGATCTTCCGGAGTGTGTGGGGGCAATGGGTCCCGTGGGAGGGTAATTGCTTCTTCCGGCGTCTGACCGTCATCCGTATCATCGTCGGATAAACTTGGTACCCCAAAGGTTTCGGGTTCCCCGCTGTCTATGACGTCGGTTGCGGCCATATCTCTAAGGATATCGTAGCTGTATGTTTGGACTAGCTGGGCTTGCTCTTCTCTTTTTGTATCGTAGCTCACAGACTCGTTAAACTGTACATTAGCTGATACCATTAGTTTGTTCTGTCTGATTGACGGTATCCACACGACGTATTGTTGAGTGGACCTATAGCCCACTAGGTAGCCGATATGAGCTCTCTGCTCAAGGGGTGATTGCGTCTTATGTGACTTAATGTGTTCTAATGCCGTAATTGTCATTGGGAACGCTATACAGCCAAAGACCCTTAAATGTGTGATGTCTGGTTTGACATCTTTGATGTGGTGATATAGTGGATTATTTTCTTTCATCCAGGTCCACCAACGCTCGTGTGGGCTCTGCCAGCTATGATCATATGATTCGAAGGGTGTTATGTTGAGCAGGTATACCGCTGTACGGTATATCTCTGGCCATAGCTCTTCTGGAAGCTTTGAGTCAAGCCTCATGACCCTTGCTTTTTCCTTTACTATTGCCCCTGATCTCTCTGCGTGACCGTTTTGCGTAGGCGTTGAAGGGGCTGACTGTATGACTCGTATCCCTCTATTAGTCATATAATCTATTTGTTCTGTTGTTAAAAGAGCCCTTTCCCCGTCAGTGACTAATGTAGTCATTTTGACTCCGTACTGGGTCTCAAGTAACGCCACGAAGTTATTGAAGATATCCCTAATACCCGTTTTTCTTTCCATTGGGTAATAGAACCTCATAGATGTGTCCATGCAGGTAAATAGGGCGAAGTTCTTTTCCCCGTTGTATGCTGTTATAGGGCCAGGGTGAAGGTCGAAGCTAACTTGCACCCCCGGACCTTTAGGCCTTAGGGATGGTGTTTTTCTCGAGACTTCCCTCTTAGCTTTCCCTGTTGCGCATATCTGACAGCTGCATGTTGTGGGGCCTTGAAGCTTGGTGCCTAGGCAGGCTTCTGATAGCTTCTCTAGTGATTTTGGACCAGGATGCCCAAGGCGGCGATGCCATAGGTCACCCACCCCCCCAGTTGGCGGCTTGGGCGCTTGTGTAACTGCGAATACCCGCTTGTGCTGCGGGAGTGTTCCCATCACGAATTGACCTTCGAAGTCGGTTAGTTTGATACGAACCTCCTTCGTAGGTTCCGAATAGAGGTATCCTAGGAGCTGGTTCCAGAATATCCCTGCCGTCATCCCCAGCCTAGCTGAGAAGACACTTGTCGGCATTTCTGGGATAAAGTAGGCATCTAGCAGGGTTATCTTTCCACCGTCAATTGTAGGGATAACTGCTGTTCCTGTTCCTTGTACCCTAAAGGCTTGGTCTCCAACCTGGACTTCGTCGTTAGAACCCCATTTGAAGGTTCCTTCCTGGAACCAACCTAGGTTATTGAAGAGGTTAACATCGGCCCCTGAGTCGTATATCAATTTATCGGCAAGTGACGACGTTCCCTTAATAGCCGTGTTCACCCTAGACATAGTGACCGTGTTGATGGTCTTTCCTAGCCCGTTATTGCTAATAACAGTGTCTGCTAGTTCTCTTCCTTTAGGGTGGGAATTAGGGGTCCAGGCTATGCATTTTGCTTTCTCGTCTGGATGGTCCTTTAGCCGTTTTTCGATATTCTGTTTGGCTAGATCACTGCATTTCCAGCCTATCGGGGGCTTCTTATTGTATATCACCCGTAGTGAGTAGCAATTTTCCCACTAGCTTGTTGAGCTGTTAACGTGCTGCTTGTAGCCAGCGCATTTAGCTTGGGTGTCTGATTTCCCAGAGATTTGATTAGCGCTTCCCCTTTTTACGGGTGGTTGCGACTTCTTCCTATGGGTGTATTCTTGTTTAAAGTTGGCGATCAGGTTCCTTAGGGGAAGTTGATCTTTGCCGTGTCTTTCGTCATAGAGGTCGAGAGCCCTCATTGTTGTAGACCAATGTAGGTCCCACTCGTCTGCCGCTGTGAGAAAGTCCTGTCTAATTCTCACATCGTTGAGTGTGTCGACCTTAAGGTCTCGTGAATCCATGATAATTTGGTCGAGCTGTTCTGCCCATGCTTTCCAGTCTCGCGTGCCTCTTTTGTTGACAGAGGTCGTGTATCTCTCGTAAATCAGCTTTTTCTCCTCTGCCCCTGAAGGCAGGGCTTGCTTCTTTAATTCCCTGATTTTCTCTCTTGGGCTGTTATGAATCAGGGTTGTCCCCTGAAGCCCTTCACTGATCGTTTTCTTGATCAATTCTTCGAGTGCGATTAGGGCTTTCTGCTGGACCTTATAGCGATCGAATTGTAGCTGGAACCTTTTCTCGAGGTTGCGAAAGGAGTCCTTTGCATCCTGGTATCGTTCGTTATAGCCTGTTCGCCTCGCTAGGAACGCAGCCTCGGTTTCATCTTCTCGTTGGGATGGTCTCCCTCCAAGGTTGACAATGAATTGCTCCCAGTCCGGCCATTGGGGCTGTTCAAGCTCCTTTATGCCGTCTGGGTCAGCATATTCCCAAATCTCGTGAGTCTGGGCCCACGATTTGATCCCCCTAATCCATGGGGTCCAATCGAGGCTTTCCTTTAGTCTCACGATATAATCATCCCCTCCTGCTTCCTTTGACGTCATCTTGGGAAAATAAGGGGTTCTGGCTTAATAAGTGATATCCTTCTTCAAGGGATGCGTAATTCGTGCAATTCGTGTGTTTCTGGTGGTGCCCCTTAGTGTGGCTAGGTTCCTTGCCTCAACACCACAATTTGAACGTTATAACGGCGTTGATAGCTCGTAAATAGCTTCAAAGGTGATATCGGCGGGCAAAAGATGGTCTAGCCGTGCAGGCCGGGCTCATAACTCTCAAGCAGTGGCTTGAGAGCACAGTGGAAGAAATAGGGGCACAGAAAGGTGAATTTAGTGATGCATGTCTTGGTCTATCTATTGGGACAAGGGAGGGGCTTATATAGGTACAGTGACCACACATAGCTAGCTAAAAGAGGGCAATAGGATGTTCCTATACCTGAGTCAAGCCTGCATAGTGTCCTTGGGCTAGGGGAGTCATGTTGTTCAGGCAGGCTTCCTTGTGCATGACTATTGGGTCCACTGAGCATGACTGTGGCCACTTATGCCCACTCTCTCTCCTCAACAGTAAGCTTATAAATGTTGATTTCATGCCAAGAGGCTTCCAGATAAAGTCCTTCATCACGTCTCCGAGCCGCCGTTCCGTTAGGACTTCAATAACATACGATAGCGTGACGTACATTAAGTTACAGTAGTGCCACTCGGTTCGAGGCTCTGCACTTAGAGGTAGGTTTCGGAGGCTACGAACGACATCTTGGAGAGTAGCCTGCGTGCCGTTGATTTCGTGATGCCATGAGTTATCATGGCCAGCTATGCCGGTCCGGTGGCTAGCGGCGTCGTCAAGGGTAACGTGGTTAGTTGCCCATTCGTCCTGTAGAACAAAATCATCGCGAAGAATCGACGAGATTGGCGTAGACCAGCCGCGAGATAATGCCGGGTAGGCCTTAGAGTCGATGAGCTGTGCAAGGACGACAGCAGTTTGAGCCTTAGTTGTTGATCCAACGTAGTAGAGCGTTTCTGGCGTCGCTGGCGTATCCGGAAGAGTAGCCAGTCCAAAGCCCTAGCATTGATCTTTAGCGAACTTAGTTGGAGGAATCAGTTTGTCAAGGGCCTACCTTGGCAAAGACGTCATGACCGTCGACGACGGCGATAGACATGCCTGGCACTTTCCATTGCTCCAAGATGTCCCTTGCAAGGGCATTGAAGTCTTGAGAAAAGGGAGAATGCGCTTTTGAGCCTTTATCGCCAATGGGCCCCAGGGTGAGTGGCTTCTGTTCTTGTCCAGCCATAGCCCCGTTTCCCAGTTGCTGTAAAGCCGCGATGACGGCGGTGCTTAGGACGCAGCAGGCGCTAACCATTGCTTATGCCGGCGGTCTGGGTGTCCGCTTGTGGTGTTGGTGATGTTCTATTCTGGCGCTTTGAGCTCGATGGAGAGACGGAGTATGTAGGGGGGGAGGAGGAACAAGAAGAGCGGGCAACGATGCTGCCGTTGATGGCTTGAGCCTCATCAAGCCCTCGTATCGGTTCCCCGCAGCATCAGGTGCAGCTTGACAATCCCCGCATCAAGGGGCTAACCTCGCCTGCAGGCCCCACGCTGCTTACGCTTTGCATCTAACAACCTCAGTTCACTGTCAGGAGCAGGCGAGTTGTGCTATTTGGACTCCCCCCCCGTCCTTAAGCTGCCCTCGCCACCCATTGAAGTCTGGGTACTGGGGGAGTTGCCCTTGGTCACTGTGCCAGCTGATTAATAAAAGGCATGAGTACAGCAAGTGGCGCTATAATACGGAGTACTTGTACAACCAGCAGCATAGCAACGCCTTTCAGTCCGGCAGACGTCCCTGTCTTTCCCGTTCGTGGTTCGGACCGGCGTCCCGCGTCTCATCTGGGAGTACTTAAACACGCACTGCGACTTGAACCCCATTAGCAAGGGAGCCCCGCCACCAAAATTTCGCGCGCACATTCCCAACGCCGTGGCCGCCGCGTCCATCATCCAGGCCGCCGCGCGCCCGATTATTCAATTGAGCATGCATCCAGTCACAATTATCACCGACGCCGGAAGATGCGTTCTTTGGAATCGTTCAGTTGAAGCTATCAACAATACGAAAGTTCAACACTATGACCCTGACTGCGACCGTACCGTAGGATCCGCCTGACGCGGCGAAGGGCGAGGCACGTAATGAACAAACGTAGGGACGGCCTGCCCGCTAGATTCGTGTGGTGTTGTGTCCCTCGAACCCCTGGCTGCCTCATGGCGGCGTTAGTGCCGCGTTGAAAGAAGTGGGTGGTGATGAGTGCAAATGTGCAATACGTGCATCATGCGCGACTATCCTTCATTCCACTGACGCTTGGAACCTTTGGCACCCCACATACGAAGCTCCTCATACATCAATGATATACGGATTGTGCGGTTTTTGCCCCAGCGGCTTGCAGCTGTTCTCTGAGTACACAGCGGATACGTTATAGCTTTGAGCCAATCCGCCTTCTGCCTCCCCAAACATATGTGCATGTATACATGTCTTCGTGCGCTGTTCCCGATCCACATTACCGGTACGTCGATGAAGCATTAATTCCCACTAGGCGAACATTCAAGACGCCTGTCTCTTCATGAACATCCCAAAACGTGTAATTTCCGACATTTCTGCATATGTATGTGCATTATCAGGGCCAGAGTGGTAAGCTATGTTGGAAGCCGCTGAGGGCACGGACGCTAAACTGCGGTGTTGTGGCGCTCAGCCGCTGAATCAGCCGCCAAAACCCCCTTGTGGATATCCAATTGATATATCATGCCGCAAGGGAGATGCTGCGCTCCGGTTCGGCCGCTCCCAATGTATAAAAGGCTTTGAGGGTCGTCGTGTAGAAGACATTTGAATCTTAAGAGGCCCAGCTCGTTATCAAATTACTTTGTTTTTGAATTTGAAAATTACCGTCCCGCCTAAGCCTAAGAAGCTAGAAATGCTTCAAATCTCGACCGCCATGGACGCTTACGGAGACACCAGCAGTTTAGAAATCTCGGCCTACGCACAAGTTGCCCTATTGCTCCATGTCAGTCCTAAGGAAATCAATGACATGTACAAGTGCACACCTATGCAGGAGGCGTTGATATCTCTGTCCACTAAGGGATCCGAAGCCTATGTGAAGCGTGTGGTGCTTTCTTTGAGTGCCAAGGCGGATCTAGCAAAGCTTCGCGCGGCAGTTGACGATGCCGTCAACGCTACTCCTCTGCTACGCACGCGCATTGTCCACTTGGATGGACTCGGATTCATGCAAGTTGTCCTCTCGAAAACAGTGGAATGGTCTGAAGCAACCTCTCTTGACGACTGTTTGAACGAGACCAAGTCAAACAAATGGGGAATTGGCGACCCTTTGGTGCGCTATACGCTGGTCAAAGACGATCAAGGCATGGCCCGCTGGTTTTTTTGGACAATCCACCACGCGCTGTATGACGGCTGGTCGTTTCCTCTCATGGTCAACCATGTCTGCCGACGATACGACGGATTTGCCGTCGAGCCAGCTCCCGAGTACAAACACTTTGTTCAACACATTGCTCAGAAAAATCAGAATGAAGCCAAGGAGTTCTGGAAATCTGCCCTATCAGGAACTCGGTATACGGCGTTTCCGGCACTTCTAGAGCTCTCATACACACTGACGGCCGATACAACAATGGAGTATTCCTGCCCTCCTGTGCCCAGAGTCAAGGGCGTCACGAGGACGGCACTTTTGCGCGGCGCATGGGCTTTGATCATGAATCGCTTCCATGGCTCGGAAGATGCAGTTTTTGGCACCATCGTTTCGGGCCGGCGGGAGTCTTTCGTAGGCATCCAAGGCTTGATGGGCCCTACGGTTGCCACAATTCCTGTCCGCGTAAGGGTCGACGGCGGCGACAGCGTTGACAAGTATCTCGAGGCAATGGAAGACCAGATACGCAGCACGAGCTCATTCGCCCAGCTCGGCCTGCGCCGGATTGCCCAAGTCAGTAGCGACGCCCGCCAGGCTTGCAGCTTCCAGACGCTGCTTGTAGTGCAGCCAGGAGAGGACACGCACGTCATCACAAGCGACATCGGCGACTGGAAACGCTTGGAGACGGACATTGGGCGCTCATCCTACGCCTTGACGATTCAGTGCTTCCTTAACAAGGACAGCATCAGGATGGTTGCCATCTTCGACTCGACGGTCCTTGACTCCTGGAGAGCGCAGAAAATGCTTGAGCAGTTCAGCTTCGTCACACAGCAACTGGCCGAAGCCAGTGCTTCACGGTCAGTGGCTGATGTTGCAGCAGCAATGTCTCCACAGGACTTGGCGGATATCTGGGGTTGGAACAGCATTGTGCCCGCTGCTGAAGACACGTGCGTGCACGACTTGATCTCGCAAAGGTAACGCAGTTTTGGTTGCCTTTGTCCACCCGGGCACTACGTACAAGGGGACAGAGGCCATGGAGACCGAGCAAGCATGTGCAAAGGCAGTGCGTCAGCTGGTCAACGGTCTCGACGAGCGGCTGGTCGAGGCTCTGCCCTCGTACATGGTTCCCAATGCCTTCATCCCGCTCAGACAGGTGCCCATGACGAACAACGGCAAGACAGATCGACGTCGGCTCCGTGAAATGGGGCGGACGGCCTTTTCCCCCCATGCTCTACGAACCGAGCAGGCGAACAAGGTGGCCCCCATCAGCCTTATCGAAAAGATGCTCGTCGAGGTTTGGGCCGAGGTGCTCAACATGAGGCCAGACGACATTTCGACTGACATGTCATTTCTTCGACTTGGCGGCGATTCAATCACGGCCATGCAGGTCATCTCCCGTTGCAGGACTCGAGGCATCCATCTTAAAGTGGGAGAATTGCTCCGAGAGCAAACAATCCAGAGAGTTGCAGCGCTGAGCACCAGCATGCCATCGAGTCTGCCCTGTTCGACAGACGCAGAGCCCCAAGGCGTCGTCTGGGGGTTGTCACCGATACAGCGCATGTTTTTCGAGCTCCATCCCGATGGACTCCATCATTTCAATCAGGGGTTTCTCTTGAAGATGCGCGAGATGGTTCCGAACGATGCTGTCCGGGCCGCGCTGCAAGCCGTGGTAAGTCGACACTCGATGCTTCGCGCACGCTTCCGGCGGAGCACAGGGGGCGACTGGGGGCAGGTCATCTCAAGGAACAGCCCCGATGGATTGGCATTCAGCGAGCACGCTGTTCAATCAATGGAAGACATCGACAGGCTCGTGCAATCTCGACACGGGTCCCTGGACATCTCGGCGGGCCCAATCTTTGCAGCCGACCTCTTCACCGATGCGCAGGGGACACAGTTCCTTTTCCTTGTGGCCCATCATCTAGTTGTCGACCTAGTATCGTGGCGTGTGCTGTGGCACGATATTGAGCACCTCGTTAAAAGAGGAGAGGTATTGGCTCACCGGACAACGTCGTTCCACACGTGGTGTGGACTGCAGCGAGACGAAGCAACATCACTTTCGCTTGATCAGGTCCTTCCCCTGGCATTCAACGAGCCGGATCTGGAGTTTTGGGGCATTTCCGCGATCGAGAATACGCACGAGGGCGCCAGGCACTTCGGCACACATGTCGACGTCGAGACAACACGTCTTTTGCTCGGCCAGAGCAACCAGGCTTTCGGCACCGAAATCACCGATGTCCTCGTCGCAGCTTTGGCGCATTCTTTCCAGCAAGCCTTTCCCGGCCGCCAGCCGCCGCCAGTGCACCTGGAAGGCCACGGGAGGGAGACTCTGGGAGAAGTTGAAGTTGATGTCTCGGAAACGGTGGGTTGGTTCACCACAATGCACCCACTTCAAATCCCAATAGGCCCCAATCAAGACATAGTCGACTCAGTCAGGATTGCAAAGGACATTCGACGTCGTGTTCCCGGAAAGGGCCGCCCGTACTTCAACTACCGATACACTGCCGCCAAAAGCAGTCGACGGCTTGGAGAGCATAGCATTCCCGAGCTGACACTCAACTTCACCGGTATATATCAGCAGTTGGAGAAGCAAAACGGGCTCTTCCGGCTCGAGGACAGATCGGGTGGCTCCGGAAGATCGCTGAGCATGGCCGGCGATGCAAAGAGGTTTTGCTTGGTCGAAGTCGTCGTGGGCGTCGCCAAGGGTCGCATGACCATCTCCTTTGGGGTCCATCAAGACATGTCCCACCAGCCTCAGCTGGAGGCGTGGATGGCCGGGTTCGCGCACCAGTTGAAAGCCGCTGCTCGGAGCCTATCCAGTCGGCCTGCTTCCTTGACTCCAGGCGACTTCCCCCTCCTGCCATTGACCTGCGATGAGCTGGACAGGTTGGTGGGCAAAACGCTTCCCGAGGCGGGCGTTCCGGTGCACACGGTCAGGGACATGTACCCCTGCACTCCGCTGCAGGAAGGCATCCTTTTTAGCATCAGCAAAGGAACGGCAACCTATGCAAACTTGTTTATATGGGAGTGTGTTGCCGAGGGCCAAGGCCCCGTTTCGCCGCTGCGCCTCGAGGCGGCATGGAGAAGCGTGTTTGCCCACCACGCCATGCTGTCAACCGTCTTTGTGGAGCGGCTGGACGTTGGCGGTTTCATCCAGGTTGTGCTTCGGAACCAGTCTCCCAGGCTTTCGTTGATCCAGTCGGGTTCTAGACCGCCAGCAGATGCGTTGCGAGAGCAGAAACGGCCCAGCTTTGCCGCCGGGGAGCCACAGCATGCACTTACCATCTGCCAGGCCTCCAACGGCGGCGTCGCTTGCCGCCTCGACATAACGCATGCGCTCATTGACGCCGCATCTGTCCAAATCCTGATGGGCGATCTGTCCAGGGCGTATGATGGGCGTTGTCTCCCAGCGCATGCGCCGTTTGCCAAGTTCATTCAGCACACGACGCGGGCGCCCAAGCAGGACAGCGTCGCGTTTTGGACGAAGCTCTTGGCCAATGTTCGGGAATGCTACTTTCCGTCGGGACACGCTGGAGCATGGCCGGCCCCGTCGCGTCCAGGCCAAGGCCGCATCACGCTTCCGTCGAGCGTCACGAGTCAGCTTCACGCCTTCTGCCAAGGCCAGGGCATCACACGCTCCGTCTTGATCCAGGTCGCCTGGGCTCTTGTGCTGTCTCAGTACACCGGGTCGCGGGATGTGTGTTTCGGCTACTTAGCGTCAAGTCGCGATATCCCGGTCAAGCTCATCGACAACACGGTGGGACCGTTGATCAATGTCTTGATAGGCCACATCGACCTCGATGACACGACCCGCCGCGTCGTGGCAACCACGTTTGCACGGTCCATCGATCAGCTGGCCCATCAACATAGTGGGCTTGCAGAGGTGCATCGCAAGTTGGGGCCCTTGTTCAACACGGCCATGACCGTCCGCGAGTCGCGCCAGCATGACAAGCACCAGCAAGGCCCTGCTAGCTTCCACGAAGTCGAAAGCGAGGATCCAGACGAGGTTGGGAGGCCCCCTCCGAGACATATTCCAGTCGCCACAGCTACATTACAAACTGACATGGACTTGCACAGTTTGACGTTACCCTTGTCGTGGGCATCAGCGGAGCCAGCACTGACATTAGCTTGGTTTACCAAAATGCCTTGCTGAGCCCTGATACAGCTCGGCGAGTTGCCGGCGTCATGTGTGACGCGATTGGATACCTCCTCAGCATCAACCTCGAGGCCAGCTCCAGCGACAAAGTCGAACAAGACGACCGCCCCTTGTACGACGCCTTCTTTACTTACCGGACTGGCTTCCATGAGGATGCCGGAGTCGAGTTCTGGGAGAAAGAGTTCCAAGGTTCGGAAGCGTCACAGTTTCCCAGCCTGCCGTCGCCCACTCACAGACCCTGCCTTGATAACGGCATCAGTCACCATGTTTGCGGCCTTGTATGGCCCAAGTCTGGTTTCACCCAGCAGGCCATGATCAGTGATCTTGTTGGACTGGACTAGCATTGGAGTGGATTTGGATGGACTGGATTTGGCTGGACTGGATTTGCAGTTTCAAAAATTTGGACTGGACTGGATCGAGAGGTCTGGAGGCTCCTGGAGCTCCAATGGACCATGCCTAATTAGGAAAGAAGAAAACCTCAACGCCAATTTTCGTTTCAGGGCTACCACAACAACGCGTTATTGATTGGAATACAGCGTGCTCATGACGAGCAGTGGTAACTACCAACGTAGAAATTCGCCAGACGGGAGATGTGACCGACTGCCGGTATAACTAGCAGCAGGAATCCCATATTTCCATCTGGCCAACAAGGTAACCACCGTAACCTTAACTTGATCAACGTTCCAAATGGCCGCATCGACAATCACCCAATTCTTCACTGGCGCTTCTAATAAGCCCTCTAGGTCAGATAATGTTGTTCTCGCTCCGGAATCGATCAACAGTCGTCGCGATCCGGAGGCCCTGATCCAGCCAGATGAGTTCAGGCTTCAGGGAGAGGAATATACTCGCTGTGCCGTGCTGGCAAGAGGCCCTAAATCAACAAAGAAGCGTACATCCGTCATATGGTTATACGGTGAGGACCTGAAGTCAAAAATAGATGATAAACGTGTCTGGTACTGCTATCTCTGCGAGAAGCAGCGTCGTCAACAAGACCTCCCAGCTATCTCAAGTGGCAATTCTACAGCGCTTGACCACCTCCACTCGAAACATGATATCGACAAATCTACTGGGGAACACAAGAGCTTTCGAGGAGACTCGGTTGACTCGAGCCAGCCCTCGATATCCGACTACCAAGACGTGAAGTCGATCATCTTCTCCCGCCGCTTAGATAGGTTCAAGGAACTGCTCGTCCGGTGGCTGGTCGGTTGCCATATCGCCTTCTTCCAGGTTGAGAATGACTACTTTCGCGATCTCCTCTTTTACCTGTTCCGCCCTTGACGAACTTTCTCCCAAGGGCAGCGTCAACTATTCGACAGTGGGTGATGAATTCGTTCGAGGTGAGGAAGGAGAAATTGCGGCAGGACATGCTCGACAGTCGGAGTTCCATTTCGTTGTCATTCGATCTATGGACGTCGCCAAACTACCTCGCAGTGCTTGGGGTAGTAGCACACTTCATAGACAAATCTGGGTTGCGTCGAACTGCTGTCTTAGCGCTGCGCGAAATGGAAGGGGAACACTCGGGAGAGAACATGGCCGATGTCCTGCTACAGGTCATCAAAGATTATAAGATTACGGACCGGGTCGGCTATTTCATGGCCGATAACGCGACGGCCAACGATGTGTGCGTTGACTCGGTGCTGCGCGCCGTTTACCCCAGTATGTCGGACAAGCAGCGAAGACGCAGGCGCCTCCGCTGCTTTGGGCATATTGTGAATCTCTGCGCGCAGGCTTTCCTGATCGGAAAGGACGCCAAAAAGATCTGCAAAGATCTAGACGCTGCATACAAAGAAGGCGACATGACGCGAATCCGGGAGCTCTGGCGGAAGCGCGGCGCCATCGGCAGGCTTCATAATATCATCAGATATATTCGAGCCAGTCCTCAGCGCCGTCAGTTTTTCAGATCAATTGCCTGTGGGGAGCACTGTCGGAGTTCGATGGCTTAGAGGTGAGTTGCCTTTGTACCTCTGGGAACCAGCAGATCGATCAGGACTAATTTAGCCCAGCTTATCCAGAGCCAGCAAACGCGCTGGAACTCATACTTCATGTCAATCGGCAGAGCTCTCAATGTCAAGGAGAGAATTCAGATATTCTGTGACCAGTATGAGGCTGGCCAGAGCCAGAAAAGTCTCGCTGAAGACCGCCTGTCTGAGCAGCAGTGGAACGAGCTTGCACACCTTCATGATCAGCTGGAGACGTTCTACGACGGAACCCTGTCGACGGAAGGCAGGCATTCAACGCTAGCAGATCACTTTCAGACGCTCGACTGGTTGCTAAATGAGATCCAGCAGGCCAAGATTAAATTCGAGGAACTTCACAGGGCGGCTGTTCGAAGGAAGACCAGTCGTGGAGCTGCCGCTGCTGAAGCCGACAACTTTGCGTTTCTTGCCGCTTCGGCAGAAGCTTCCTGGCGTAAGGCCGAGCAGTATTTCAATAAAGTGGACGAGACACCGGCATATTATACCGCCATTTCGCTGAATCCGACTCTCAAAAGTCAGTGGTACGTCGAGGCTTGGACAGACGAAGAAAACGGTTATGGATCCCGGGCGTTACGAGGCTTGTTAGAGAACTCTGGCTAGAGGAGTATCGGGGCAGGCATTCCACAAAGCAGGCTTCGGTCTCCGCTTCGCCCGGTCCAACGTCGTCTGTTTCAGTTAGGAAGGAGAAGCCTTTTGCGGCTGTTAAGAGCCATAAAGACTGAAGCTTCGTCACGAGGTCGGATCAACAGACCTGCCCGCCATCGACCTTCTCGATCAGTTCCTGGAGACAGATGTTATCCGGCTTGGTGAGGAGGAAAGCTTTGACGTTATCAAGTATTGGAACGATCGCTATCATACACAACCTGATCTAGCACGCATGGCACTAGATGTTCTATCTGTTCCACCAATGTCGGATGAATGCGAGCGGTTATTCAGCAGCGCTAAGATCCTGCTTTCTGACCGGAGGTCGAGGCTTAAGATCGACATCATTGAAGCTAGCGAGTGCCTCCGGTCCTGGTACGGCCCACCTGCACGAAATACTTTTGAGGATATCAACATCGGGAGACTAGAAGGGGAGTCTGATCTGCAGGAGGCTTACAAAGCTGGGGATGGATCTGAAGCTAAAATGGACGACGAGGACCTTCGGATCGTGGATCAAGATGATTACCTCCATGATAATACTCCTCAGCCCCAGGAGGGCTTGCGGTAGTTAACCAGCGTTATTGATGTCAATCACACACCGCACAGCATTGAACAAGGATCGACTCCGTGGTAATCTCGCGATGACTATAAAATACGGAATATCGACTACCTTGAGCTAATCCATTTAAGGATTGGATTTGCATTGGCGGTTCTGGAGTCCTCAGCGCTGTGCATTGGACTGGACTGGATCCGACCTCGAAATCCAGTCCAGTCCAGTCCAACAAGATCACTGGCCATGATTACGGCTGCGTGGGCGATGCTGGCTGCTCGATACGCCGACTCGGATGAAGCTACATTTGGACTTTTCGTGGCTCAAAGACCGCTGGCGCATCGACCGGGACTTTGTGGTACCGGTGTGGGAGAGCCATCAACCAACACGCGTGCAGTGGCCATGCCAATACGCGTGATACCCGAGCCAGATTGGACAGTGGACAAGCTTCTGGACCACGTCTCACGGAAACAAACAGACATGGAGAATTTCGGGCGGATGGTCCCTCAACGTCTTTCAAATATAAATGAGGAGCTGAAGCGCGCGTGCCAGTATCAGACGTTTCTGGCAGTAGGTTCCGAGGCCCCTGAAGACCCGGACGCTTCTGGCTATGGGCTTTCCACGGACAGGGCCAAAGACGAATGTGCACTGGTGGTCAGATGCCAAACTCAAAAAGAGGGCCTGACATTCTTGATCGACTTTGACAGCGCCGTTTTGGACAGGACACAGGTTGTGCATGTAGCTCACCAGCTTGAGCACATTCTGCGCCAGATGTCAACGTGCGGTGACCAAAGACAGCTACGTACTATTGATGTGGCAAGCCCTCTGGATCTCCGTGACATTTGGCTACGCAATGCGGTTGCGCCAGAGCCGGTGCTGGCCTGTGTGCATGACCTGATTGCGGCAGCTGCCCGGATACGACCTGATGCACCCGCAGTTTGCGCCTGGGACGGCGAACTTACACATCAGCAGCTCGATGCGCTGTCGACCAGGCTTGCACAGCAATTTGTGCAACTGGGCATTGTACGGGGGGCCTCTATATGCTTGTGCTTCGAGAAGTCGGTCTGGACGCCCGTCGCGATTCTTGGTGTCGCCAAGGCCGGCGCCGTTTCGGTCAACCTCGACATATCGCAACCAGAAGATCGTTTGCGAGCCGTTGTTGGTCAGGTGGCCCCCAGATTAATACTATCATCTGGGGACCAGTCACCCCTGGCCAATCGACTCGGGCCGTCCGAGGTGTTTACGGTTGGCAAGGAGCTGGAGAATCTTGATCCATCCACCACCAAGCTTCCGCCGGTTAGTCCCGAGGACAATCTCTACATTGTCTTCACGTCTGGTAGTACAGGAACACCAAAGGGGGTTATGGTAACCCGCGGCAACTTCTGCAGCGCCATCAGGCATCAAAAAGCTCTTGGCTTTAGGTCTACGTCTCGAGTATATGACTTTGCCTCGTATGCTTTTGATGTATCCTGGTCCAACCTGCTGCACACGCTGGCAGCGGGTGGTTGTCTTTGCGTTCCTTCGGATCAGGACCGGAAGCAAGACCTGGCAAAATCAATGCGTGCCCTAGGAGCAAACTACGTCGATCTCACTCCGACTGTTGCCCAACTCCTGTCCATTTCCGAGACACCGCAGCTGAAGACGTTGAATCTGGGTGGCGAGGCGTTGGTACCGGGCACGTTCGACCATTGGCCGGACGACATAAGAATCATCAACGCGTATGGTCCTGCCGAATGTACAGTTGTCAGCACGTACACGGAGGTTGGTCGGGCCAAACAGGACCGCGGCATTGGGACAGCGCTTGGCACAGTCGCCTGGGTGGTTGACCCCGACGGAAACAGACTGGCCGCTTTTGGGACCGTGGGCGAGCTTTGGATTGAAGGACCGCTTGTCGCGCGAGGTTACCTTGATGATGTCGAGCGAACTGCCCAAGCCTTTGTTCGGGACCCGCCGTGGCTCCTTCGAGGGACGGCGGGCTACCCCGGACGCCACGGTCGACTCTACAGGACTGGAGACGTGGTGCGCTATAATCCGGATGGTTCACTTTGTTACTTGGGACGGGCTGACACCCAAGTGAAAATCAACGGCCAACGGGTCGAGCTGGGCGACATTGAACACCACATTCGACAAGCCTTGAGTGCAATTTCCCCTGATTTTAACGGCATCGTCGTGGCAGAGGTGGTGCATCCCCTAGGTAGCGACCATCCGGTGCCGTTGGCCTTATTTGGTCCATGCAACCAAGCATACGAAAGCGAGGCGGCTCGACACGATGATGTTGACAATGCAATGCTCAGGAGAATCACCTCAGGCCTCAATGAGCGACTGGACAAGGTCCTTCCACCCCACATGATTCCAAGTGCCTACGTCTCGGCAAGGGACGTATCCATGACAGCCGCGACCAAAGTCGATCGGCGTCGGATACGACAGACATATGCGTCATTGGAGTTTGGGCAAATCGCCGGACTGGGCCCCGCGTCAGACGAGCGACGACGGCCCCAGACATGGCAGCAGCGGCAGCTACAGTCGCTGTGGGCACGTGTGCTCGGTATTGGCACGGACCGCATTGGGTTGGACGACAACTTCTTCCGCATGGGGGGCGACTCGGTTGGGGCCATGAAGCTTGTGGGCGCGGCAAGGGAGCAGGGCTTGTCGTTGACGGTTTTGGACATCTTCGCCCACCCAGGCCTGCAAGAGCTGGCAGGTTTGCTTGTTGCCAAGGAGGGGGATGACGCCCAGGTGAGCATTTCTCCGTTTTCGCTGCTCGGCGCAGCCGTGGACATAGACGGCGCCGTGCGGAAAGCGGCATCGATGTGTGGGACTGCGCCAGAGCAAGTCCAAGACATGTTCCGTTGCACTCCTCTGCAAGAAGGCTTGCTGGCCATGACGGCGCGACGTTCCGGAGACTATGTTGCACGCTTTATTTACAAGATGCCTGCCGATGTGGACCTTGGCTGTTTCGTGGAAGCCTGGACACGGATCACGGACAACGCACCGATACTGCGAACCCGCATCGTTGACCTCCAAGACGCTGGACTTTTCCAGGTCGTCACAAAGGGTCAGTTGCCGTGGAGGTCTGGAGATGGCGTGGGAGAGTTCTTGGAAAAAGACAAGCAACAGCCGATGGGGCTCGGGACCGCTCTCACCAGACTCGCTCTGGTGACCAGCCCGTCCAGCGGTCAAGTGTACTTTGTGTGGACCATTCATCACGCACTATACGACGGGTGGTCCATGCCACTGATGCTGAAGGCGGTAGATGGAGCATATCGAGGGCAATCACCCCCAGCATGGACGCCCTTCCAACGGTTTGCGCAACACGTCGACGGCGTGGACGGACAAGCAGCGGCCGACTTCTGGCGTAGGCAGTTTGAGGGCTCAGATGCGCCTCAGTTCCCCCCTTTGCCCTCTCGCGATTATCATCCTGCCGCCGACAGCGGGCTACGCCACGAGATCCGGGGGCTCGAGTGGGGGGGGAGTGATTTCACAGCGTCAACATTGATCCGCACTGCATTGGCAATCGTTATAGCACGACATGGCGCCGTCGACGAAGCTGTATTTGGAGCAACCGTGTCGGGACGACAGGCGGCCGTACGGGGCATTGACCTCGTCATGGGACCGACCTTTGCCACGGTCCCGGTCCGCGTGCCGATAGACTGGGCGGCCAGCGTTGAAGACGTCTTGCGTAAGTTACAGCATCAAGCGATGCAGATGATTCCGTTTGAGCAGTTGGGCCTGCAAACCATTCGAGCCATTAGCGACTACGCAGAGCGAAGCTGCAACTTCCAAACGCTCCTTGTGGTGCAGCCCGAGGAGGGGAAAGCCGCCGACAAGACCAGCCTGTTCTGCCAGCCTGCGCAAGACGCCAAGTCCGTGATTGACGCCTTTGCTACAAATTCCTTGGTCATTGAGTGTCTCCTCAGGAACCGTGGCATGCATCTGCGTGTCTCGTTTGATTCAGCCGTGGTGCAACAGGCCGAGGTGGAAAGACTAGCACAGCAGCTTGAGCACTTGCTGCGACAGCTTTGTTGTCCCGAGAGCAGGCGTGCGAGCATCGGCGGCCTTGACATGCTGAGCGACAACGACCTCGAGACGATATGGCAGTGGAATGGTGTTCTGCCTGCTCCAGTTGACAGTTCGGTGCAGCAGCTCCTTGCCAAGACGTTCCGCCAGCAGCCCGGCATGCCGGCCATCTGTGCGTGGGATGGAGAGCTCACATACCGAGAGTTGGACGTGCTGTCGACTCGCCTGGCCCGTCACCTAGTCAAGGAACTACGAGTCGGCCCAGAAGTCGTCGTCCCGCTGCTGTTCGAGAAATCAAAGTGGATGCCTGTGTCCATGCTGGCCACCATCAAAGCCGGTGGTGTGTCCGTCGCCATAGACCCTTCACAGCCAGAACACATGTCGCAGCGCATCGTGGACGAGGTGGAGCCCAGAGTCATCTTGTCCTCGTCGTCTCAAGAGCTGCGGGCGAAGCGACTTGGTCATGGATGCAAGGTGGTCACTGTCCATGATGGTCTACGCGCCATTGCCACATGCAATGACGACGACACCGACTTGCCAAACGTTGGTCCCGACAACAGGCTCTACATTGTTTTCACGTCGGGTAGCACAGGCACGCCCAAGGGGGCCACCATCACCCACGGCAATTTCTGCAGCGCCATGACACACCAGCAATTGCCACTTGGATACACGTCCGAGTGCCGCGTCTTTGACTTCGCCTCCTACGCCTTTGACGCTGCCTGGTCCAACCTCCTGTACACTCTGTTCGCCGGGGGCTGCGTGTGCATCCCATCAGAACTGGAGCGAAAGCGTGATCTCGCTGGTTCCATCAGGAGATTAAAGGCAACGTATCTCGATCTCACGCCATCCGTCGCCGAGCTGCTCGCGGGCTCCCATGTCCCGCTCGTCAACCACGTCGTCTTGGGAGGCGAAGGACTGACCGAGGCTGCATATTCCCACTGGCCAGACCATGTTCGGCTCACCAATACCTATGGCCCAGCCGAGTGTACAATCAACAGCACATCGACCCCGATCAGTCCACACGAGAAGCACCGGCGTGGAATCGGCACTGGCATCGGCACCGTGACCCGGGTCGTTGCCAACAACGGCCAGCTGGCTCCTATCGGCGCCATCGGGGAACTCTGGCTTGAGGGGCCCATCGTGGGGCCTGGTTACTTCAACATGCCGACCCAAACATGTGCATCGTTTGTCGAGAGCCCGGCATGGCTGCTCGAGGGTCGCCGTGACGGCCTCTCAGGACGGTGCGGCCGCTTGCACAAGACGGGCGACTTGGTTAGGTACAACGCTGACGGTTCGCTTGCATTCATCGGCCGCAAAGATACGCAGGTCAAGATCCGTGGTCAACGCGTCGAACTCACCGCGATTGAGGACTATGTGCGCCAACTGCTCCATGGCGAGGATTCAGACCAACAAGACGCTTTTCAAGGCACCTTGGTGGCCGAAGTGGTGACGCTTCGAGACAGGAAGCAGCCCATGCTCGTACTTTTCATCCACCCAGGGGACGCTCATGTCGGAACCGAGCAACAGAACATAGAGGCGGTCCGGCGGGTTGCGGCTCCTCTGGCAAAGCGACTGGCTGGCTCGGCGCCTCTGTACATGCTTCCCAGCGCCTTCTTGCCTCTACAAAGCGTACCGAAACTCAGTTCGGAAAAGGTCGACCGACGCCAACTGCGTGCCACCATCTCCTCGGTCACATGGGACGAGGTGGCGGCCCGGAATGTGCTGGCCACGTCGAGGGGTACGCGGCGAGCTCCTGAAAGCCGGCAACAACGACGGATGCAGACCCTGTGGGCTCAAGTTCTGGACCTCGACGCCAAGTCCATCGGCCTGGATGACAATTTCCTACACCTTGGAGGCGACTCGATCAAGGCCATGCGGCTAGCTGCCGCTGCGAGGGAAGAGGGCATCCTACTCCACGTGGCCGATATTCTACGTCATCCGAACCTCGATGGACTGACCGACTGCGCTAAATTTGACCACGATGAATGCGAACAAGACATCGCTCCATTCTCTCTCCTCGGCGCCAATGTTGACGAAGCCGCCATTCGAGCACATGTGGCGTCGATGTGCAGAAATGCCCAGATTTATGACATGTTTCCCTGCACGCCGCTTCAGGCCGGTCTCTTTGCCTTGAGCATGCAGCAGAAGGGCAGCTACATAGCTCGTTTTGTATACGAACTCCGGCCTGACGTCCACGTGTCACGTTTCACCGAAGCGTGGGACCACGCAGTCAACATGTCGCCCATCCTGCGAACAAGGTTCGTCCAGCTTCCGGGACGTGAAATCTGTCAAGTGGTGATAGCCAAGCAAGACCAAGACCATTGGCTATCTGGAGACGATGTCGACGCCTACATTGAGGAAGACCGGCGTCGAACCATGGGTCTGGGTGAGCCGCTTTCACGGACAGGTCTAGTCCGGGGCGGCAAATCAGGAAAAGTCTTCTTCATCTGGTCTGTACACCATGCTTTGTACGACGGATGGTCGTTGACGTTGCTCCTCGACATGGTTCAGAGCCATTACGAGCGAGTCTCGAGCCCTACACCGGTTCCGTTCCAGGCCTTCGTCAAGCATCTAGCCTCGATTGACGACGGGCTGGCTGATGCATACTGGGAAAGAGAATACGAGGAATTAGAGACCCAAATATTCCCGGTCCTGCCGTCCTCGGCATACATCCCGCGCGCCAACCAAAGTCTCAGACATCAGGTACAGCCTCTTAGATGGAGCCAAACCAACTTCACAGCATCGGCCGCGATCCACCTAGCATGGGGCATTCTTGCTGCAAAGCGCAGTGCCACGAGCGATGCAGTGTTTGGAGCGCTGGTCTCGGGACGACAAGCCCCTGTTGCTGGAATCGAACGTGTCCTGGCGCCCACAATCGCAACAGTGCCGGTTCGCATTGCCGTCGGCTGGGACCAGACGGTGGGGGCAATGATGAGAAGGGTCCAAAATCAAGCAGCCGACATGGTGCCCTTTGAACAAACAGGTCTTCAGCGGATCCGACGGGTCAGCCAAGGCGCGAGCCTCGCCTGTCGATTCCAGACATTGCTGGTCGTTCACCCGGTAAAGTTAGAGTCGGAGAAGTCGCGTCTTTTTGCGCCTAGACAAGATGAGGTCGACGAAGAGGCAGAAGCCATGGTCAACTTCAGCACATATGCACTCACGGTCCAGTGCCAGCTCCAAGAGCGAGGCATGCAGATTCTAGCTAGCTTCGACTCGTCAGTTGTACAAGAGTCGGTCGTCAGTCGTTTGCTCCAGCAGTTTGAGCACGTCCTACGACAGGTGCTGGACACGAGCATGCAGGCGACCCGGGTGCGAGACTTGAGCATTGCAAGCGCCGAGGACCTGAGCGACCTCTGGCGGTGGAACGCATCATTGCCAGCACCGGCCAATGGATGCATCCACGACTTGATTGCGGACATGACGCGCCGACAGCCCCGGGCGGCTGCCATTGAAGCATGGGATGGAGCTTTGACATATCAACAACTCGACGACTTATCGGATCAACTGGCGCACAATATCCGGGAGCTTGGAGTCGGGCCTGAGGTCACGGTTCCGCTGTGTTTTGAGAAGACGATGTGGATGCCAGTCGCCATGCTCGGCGTGTTGAAGGCAGGTGGCGTTTTCGTTCCGGTTGATGTCGGTCAAGCCCAAGACCGCGCGCGAATGGTCCTTGCAGCCATACGACCAGTCGTCATTGTAACATCAAGACGATACCAGGCCTTTGCTCAACAGGAGGGCTTCCCTACGGTTCAGCCGCAAAATTTGGTGACTCGTGGCGCACAACGTCCGAAACGCTCTTCCGCCGACGTCGGCCTCACTCCCCACTCAGGGGCATACATCATCTTCACGTCCGGCAGCACCGGCACGCCTAAAGGTGTCGTCATGGAACATGGAGCTGCAAGCACAAGTCTCGTCGCCCACGGGGCCAAGCTGGGCCTCAACCAGACGACGAGATTCCTGCAATTCGCGTCGTATACGTTTGACGCTTGCATAATGGAGATCCTGACCAATCTCGTCTACGGAGGATGCATATGCATTCCGTCCGACGAGTCCAGACTCGAACGGCTGGCTGAGAGCATGAATGAAATGAGAGTCAGCACAATGTTCGCCACTCCGTCGGTGGCTCGCCTTATCCGGCCGGACGAGGTTCCAACCCTCCGAACCCTAGCAATGGGAGGCGAGAAGGTATCGACGACGGATACTGCAAGATGGGCCCATCTTCCACGGCTCCTGAATGTCTATGGGCCCACGGAATGTGCAGTTATCTGCGTAATGCAACTTCTGACGGGCAGCACGGTGCCAAGCCAAACCATCGGCAAACCCATAGGGTGCGCGGCGTGGGTGGTAGACCCTGCCAATCCCGACAGCCTCGTTCCCATCGGAGCAGTCGGCGAGCTGCTGATCCAAGGTAATCTCCTAGCCAGAGGATATCTCGACGACGAAGCTCGAACACGGGCAGCGTTTATGGAGAGCCCGCCCTGGCTAACACAACATGGCCGCTGCGGCCGTCTTTACAAAACCGGAGACCTCGTGCGCTATAACCCCGATGGCACCCTCGTATCCGTCGGCCGCAAGGACAGTCAGGTCAAGATCAACGGCCAGCGGGTGGAGCTGGGCGAGGTCGAGCATCACGTACGACAACTCTTGACCAGCCCCTATCCAACCTACCGAGGCGGCGTCGAGCTGGCAGCCGAGATCATCAAGCCTCGAGATAGTAGCCAGCAAATGCTGGTCGTCTTCATCTGCCCAGACAAGGCTTCGTTCCCATCGGCAGACGAATGCGCCGCCCAAGTGCGACAAATGGTGGCTGGCCTGGACGAGAGGCTAACTGGAGTGTTGCCGGCTCACATGATCCCAGGTGCCTACGTAGCCCTAGAAGGTGTGCCCATAACGGCAACGGGAAAGATGGATCGTCGCCTCTTGCGGGCCAAGGGAAGCTCCTTGACCACGTCCGACTTGGCTGCCATGAGCACGCAGAGCACCCTGCCGAAACGACTGCCGGCGACCCAAATGCAGCGCATGTTGGCCCAGATATGGGCTCGAGTCTTGAACATCACCACCGAGATTGGTCTAGACGACAACTTCTTCAGCTTGGGGGGCGACTCCATTTCCGCCATGCAAGTTTCGGCAGCAGCACGCTCACAGGGCTTGCACATCCCCACCAGAGACCTCAAGCTGAGGAGAACCATTGCGAAGCTCGCCGACTCCTTGCAGGTGCAGCCAAGGGAAAACCGCCAGCTGATTGCCGGGATGACCGCTGAGTCTGGCGGTCGATTCCGTCTGTCGCCGATCCAACAATACCATTTCGAGACGAGGCCTGAGGGCCCTGACTGGGCGGATCTGCCCTTTTACCTTGGCATTACGAGACGTGTCCCAACCCAGCTAGTCATTGATGCTCTCCACCGACTAGTTGGGAGACATGCAATGCTGCGAGCTCGTTTCTGTCCCGATGAGACCGGGGCTTGGGTGCAGTACGTCTGCGAAAGCACCCAAGACTCGCTTCTGTTTAGGCACTTGGACACGACGAGCCTGTCGCAGAGGGCCGCGACCATTGCAGAGTGTCGCGCCAGCATCGACATCGAGAATGGACCTTCGTTAGTGGCTGCCCTTTTCGAGGACGATGGCCAGCAAACACTGTTCCTCACAGCTCATCATCTCGTCATTGACTTCGTGTCCTGGCGTTTGATTTTTCAGGACTTGGAAGAGCTTCTGACGGGAGGGGGTTTCGCTTCTTCTCCTGTCACGTCGTTCCAGGAGTGGTGCCGCCTGCAGCGAGATTACGCAACCGAGAACCTGGTGCCCGAGGCGGCCCTGAACCATGTGCCATACCAGCCTCCCCCGAACTACTGGGGAACAGACGACGCAGTGCCAGGCAACGAGGTATACACCCGGAAGCACTTCCTTCTCGACATGCCCACCAGCTCGGCCATCCTCGGGCCTTGCAGCGCAAGGCTTCATGTTCGTCCGCATGAGCTCATGATGGGAGCCTTAAGCTACTCTTTCAGCCGTGTATTCCAAGACCGCTCAGTCCCGCCGATTTTCACCGAAGGCCACGGCCGTGAAGCCTGGGATGAGACTATTGACCTGTCGCAGACGGTGGGTTGGTTCACGACAGTCTTTCCGGTGCACATAGATGCTTCCGATGATGATGGTGTACTCGATTTCGTCTTCAAGACCAGGGAAAGCCTTCTCAATACGCCACGTCAGGGCTGGTCCTACTTCGCGTCTAAGTATCTCAACGGAAGGGGCCGCGAGGCCTTTTCCAAGGATCGAATGGAGATCAATTTCAACTTTTTAGGTCAATTCCAGCAGCTTGAGCGAGAGTCGTCGCTGCTACAAGCCGTGAAGCTTCCAGAAAATTGCCGGCCTCCCGGAATGGCTCCGATCGACACGGTCGGCGTCCTCGATGTCGTCATCTTCATAGAGAGGGGCAAAGTGTGTGCCGACCTAAAGTACAACTCGCGGGTCCGACATCAAGACAAGATTGAGACATGGATTCAGACTTTTGAGAGGACTTTGGTAGATATAGTGAGGCCTGCCTTATGCGCGCGATTTATCCCCCCTGTTAAGGAGAGTGGGCATAAGAGGCCATAGTTATGCCTAGTAGACCTAATAGTTATGCATAAGGGAACCTGCCTAACTAATATAACTCCCCTAGCCTAAGGATATAATATAGGCCTAACTTAGGTATAGGAATATCTTAATGCCCTCTTTCGGCTAGCTATATATAGTTACTATACCTATATAAGCCCCTCTCTTATCTTAATAGATAGACTAAGATATATATTATTAAATTTACCTTTCTAAGCCCTTATTTCTTTTACTACGCTTTTAAGCCTCTACTTAAGAGTTATAAGCCCGGTTTATATAACTAGATTATCTTTTACTTACTAATATTACTTTTAAAGCTATTTATAAGCTATTAACGCGATTATTACTACGTCTTTCTAGCTAGCTTTTCGAAACTAGGCCTAAAACATAAAAAAGGTATACGCCTAGAACCGTCGCGAATAGCGTATTACGCCCCCCTAAGTGCAGCCTCGTGCAGCTACTAGCGGGTACGTAATATACTACCGAAGATTACGAATTAGGCGAGGTTCTCCCCTATATAGGTAGAAAACTCTTCCCCGCCCTCGCTAACTAAGGGTATATGCCCCCCGCTAATAGGACCTAGCCCGGACCCGACCTAGGACCCCGGCCTAGACCTAAGGAGGGCCCCTTTAACTTTAACCCCCCCCCCCCCCCCCTTAACCTAAGGGCCGAAATAAGCACCCTAGAGGCTAGGGCCCGCTTAGAAGAAGCTCTAGAAGGCTAACGCCTTTTAAAGACCCTAGAAGAAAGGCCTAGGACTTAAGACTAGGACCTAGAGGATATTAAGATAGAAGATAATACCTAGCCTATATTAAAGACTAGCCTCTTTAGGCCTAGCCTAGCCCTACCTTAGGCTAGCTACTTCTAGCTTAACTAGCCCCTAAAGTAAGTAAAGGGGCGAAAGAGAGCTACCCTTAGTAGCCTTATTAGCCCTACGCCTATCTAACCTATATTATAATACTTATAGTAGACCTAGCCCTAGCCCTAGTACCGCTTTCCTAGGGACTAGGCTTAGGGCTTCCTTTAGTAGGCCCTTTAGGCCCTTAAGGAAGCCTAAAAAATTAAACCCTTCTATAAGACCCTTATAGAAGGGCTTAAGAAGGCAGCTATAAGGACCCTAGACCGCTAATAGCCCCTATAATAGCCCCTATACTAGCCTAAGGCCGCCTAGTAGCCTAAGGCTACCTAAGGAAACCTTAAAGCGAGCTCGTAGGCTAAGGTTACTATAAAGATATAAGAAGGTATAAGCAATAAGCGTAGAATCGGGTAATTAATAGAATAAGCGGAAAGATCGGTCGAAGGGGTATAGGGTAGGATTTTGTCCGGAATTTATAACGAGCATATAAGGGGCCGAATAATATATTAAAAGAATAGCGTTGCAAAAGATATATACGAACTTACTTGTTTTATCTACTACTCCTAGGGAAATCTTTCGTCTTTTATAGACCATTGCTCGCCCGCTAGTAGACCAATTAGTCAGCTTTCTAGCACATTCTATAGTGCTTAAAAAGCTCTATCTATAGTATATCTTCCTAACTTAGTAGGTGGTCTGATTGTGGCGTGATGGTTAACGTAAGACTATGGGTTCTGGCATAAGTAGTGGATTTAACTAGAATGTTCTATGCCCTACCTATTCTCGTATCGCGGATATCTTCGGAACCGCTAGGCCAAAATAGGCAATAGGGTATCCGTTCTGCTCGTAATTAACTTATGCATTTTATGCATATTTATGTTTATAAGGATAGGCTTATCCTAACCCGCTTTTCCTAGAGGAAGGTATAGATATCTAGTAGAGGTCTTTATCTTTTAAGGGTTATTCCCTTAGACTATATTATAGAGCCTCTTTTTACTAGCTTATTCTATAAAGCCTCCCTATGCCTATTATTTCTTTATAATAGTAAAATAGGAATATAAGGGTATATTCTTATAAAAGAAGGTGCTTAAGGCTATAGCTAAGGCCCTAGCTAAGGCTCTAGCTAAGGCCCTAGCTAAGAGGAACGTAAAAGAAGACTTCTAACTTATCCTAAAGCTAAAGAAGGGATTGCTAACGCTAACTATTAGCCTTATTACTCTTTATAACGAGCTTAATAAAGCTATAAAGGAACTAGCTATATTAGCTTTATTAACTTTAAATAAAAGTAATATAGTTATAATAATAAAAGCCCTATATATAGTAAAGAAGCTTCTAGAGTAGTAGGAGAAGTAGTCCCTATACCTTAAGGAGCTACCTATTAAATCGGCCGACCTTTTTACTAGCTAGACTAAGCTAGTAGCCTAGAGCGTCCCTAACTTCTTATAACGACCGGTGTTATTCCTAAGGGATAAACCTATCGAGGGGTTTATATTAGCAGGTATAATAGGGCGTGGTCTAAGCAATAATATATATATTACGTTAGTAATAAGTCGGAGGTCGTAGACCGTAGACTATAACTAGGTAATTAGAATTAGAGATAGAATTATAATAAAGATCTATATTAAAAGCTAGAGAGCTATCTATCTAAAGGAGTAAAAGTAGGTAGCTATATATACCTATAGAGACTATCCTTAGATTACGGTCTTAGCTATAATCCCCTTCGTAGCTTATTATAGCTTAATCGTAAGCTATACTCCTAAGTAGTAATCTATCTATATAAGGCTTACTTAGCTTATATATACTCTAGGTAAGCTAAGCCTAAGTAACTTCTCGTCCTAACTATTATTCCGAGCCGCCTTATTACGTAAACGTAGCTAGCTCTCTTATAGCCTACTAACTATAGTCGTAATACGATATCTCCCCTCCTTTTAGTCTTATCCGTAAGACCTACTACTACCTTAGCCGCTGTATATAAATATACCCTTATCGCGCGTATATATATTCCCTATTTCGTCCTTTCTATCCCTTAGGATATACTACTAATAGTATATTTAGTCGCGTATCGAAGGATCGTTCCCGTAAGACCCTTAAGCGTATTCGTTTAGCTAAGTCTATTAATCGTCTTAGTTTCGACGTTATACCGTATTCTTTTTATTCGTCGCGCGGCTTCCGCTATAAAATACTAGAGAAATCTTCTAAGTATACTAAATATATACGGCGGGGTCGTTCCTATAATACGTCGGGCGTAGTAATTAGCTCCTATAGGTAACTTCGTTATCCTACTTATTATTTATAGCTAACGTATTTCCTAGTATCCTAAATAAATCTAGAGTCCGATCGATTAGATAAAGAAAAAGAAATTACTAAGGAGCGAATATTAAAAGCTTAAGCCGACCTAAATAAAGCCTTAGCCTATTTAGCGCGGCTTCGCCGTTAAAAGCGCTAGCTAAAGATAAAGGGTACTAAGATAGTCTATTAGGGCCTTCGTTCCTTAGATAACCTTAATAAGACTAAGCGCTAAGAATCTAAAGCGGTAGTTAATATTTAGTCTATAGGTAGATTTAATATAATTAATTAAAATATTATTAGTTTATTAAGCGATTTTATAATACCTAGGGTAGATTTTACTAGTAGAACTATCGAAGTAGAGAACTATAGTAAGTTAAGTGCTTAAGTAGTTCCTAGGTATTTTCCTTTAGTCTATACCCCTTTTACTTAATAAGGTATTCTTATTACTAACCTTATTTTCTTATATCTACTATTTATTCGGCTTTATATTCTTAATTATTATCGACTTCGATTTTATCTTATAGTTTAGCGTTTTATAGTACTAGTTCTAATAATAAGATATAAAATATTAGGTATATCTATATTATTATTAGTAGCGAAAGTTTATAGTTAACTTTTAAAATAGGTTTCTTAACCTTAAACGGTCTAAGTTTCTTAAAATTTAATTTATTACTTAGTTATTTTATTTTAATATTTCGTTATATAAGGTAGACTATATCTCCCTCTTAAAAGATTAGTCCCTATGATCTTTTCTAATTATAGTAAGTAGATATTCTAATAAATTAAAGTTCTTATTATGTTTCTTTATATAATTTTTATAGCTAATCTACTTATAGTATTGCTCGTTCCGCTTATAGTCCTTATTAAGTAACCTTAAATACTTTTAAGTTATATCCGTAATTAGTATATACTAGTAAGAGCTTAGTTATTTCCGTAATTAAGCTATTATAAGCTAGTTATACTATTAATAGCTATTTAACTTAATCGTTTTATTTATAGCTAATATAGTATTATAAATATTATTTAAGCGTTTAGTTAAGTCGTTTTATTTATCTATCTATTTATAGGTAATAAGCTATACTAAGCTTATATTTCGTCTTTAATTATACTATAAGAGCTTACTAAAACTTAGCTATAAATATACTTCCTTTATTAAAGATAATCTTATTTAGTAGTTTATAATTACTAATAATTATTTATAGGAATATATATACTAGCTCTTTTATATTACTTACTTCTTTATATAGTAAAAAAATACCTATACTTTGTTAATCTATCGGTAATAATAAATATACTATTATACTTAATATTAGTTATAGGTTCTTTTAATAGTAGTAGCTTTATAATATAGTCGAAAGCTATTAAATCCTATAGTTTCTTTAGTACTAGTAGCGGTTATAATTCTTTATATAGTTTATATTATTTAGCTTTACTTTATATATAAAGTTTATATTCTTTAATAACTTATCGTACTACTTCCTTAAGCTATAGAAAGTTATATTATCGTTTAATCCGTTTTATTATTCTTTAGATTCCTTAATATCTATATATTAAATATTTATATATATCTTATATAACTTTATCTTATAATTTTAGTAGTATCTAGATTTTATTTTTATATATTAAAACTTCTAAATATTCTATATTATATCCGTTTAGTACTTTATATTCTTTTATCTATTTTAGGATCTTTTAGTATATCGAGTCGTTAGGTTATACTTTAAATATTACGTTTAGCTATCGTTATTAATAGTTTCCGTTTTCGTTAATTTCTAGGAGCTATTCTTTCGCTATAGGTGCCCCTATATTATAGTCGCTTCGTCGACTAAGGGTATTAACTTAACTATTTTCTATTCCTTTT